AACGTGAGAGAATATATTTAAGTTGAAAGATTCCGATTATTCTTTAATATATTAGATATATTAAATAATAAAAAAAATATATATATTTAATTCATAAGGTTGAAATTAGTATTTTATAACCTAAATATATTAAATATAAAAAGGAGAAAAATATATTTAATAGTTAATTCATATTACATCGGAATGAATTAAATATATATTAAAATAATATATAAATAAAATATTATCATCAAATATATTATTTGACAAAAATTCTCTAAAACTTTTAACTTTAGTATAAATAGAACTCTAAATTTATACGAAGCCAATGAGAATCTTAACGTTTTGGTGGTGAATTCTCTCTAAGCAAAAAATTCTCCATCAACAATAATATTAGGGTGACAGTTCAATATCCGTTGATAAAAGAACGGAATCCTTATCAACTTCAAACTCGAATATGGTATTTGAATTTTATATCTTTAGATCTTCTCCATACGCTTCTCAATGGTATATCCGACACTATTTGAATTATTGTTCACGACAAACATTAACAATTTGGTTTTTCAAGTCATTCCTTCTCCTTTAGCGGTTGAATGAGGAATCAAACATCGTCATCTTCACTTATGTATTGATGGAGAAGATTCATAGTTCTTCTTATATTTCTCCCTCGTTTCAATGTTAAAATTTAATGGCTGAATTTTTATAATTTTATATGTATATTCTAATCCAGCAAACAAATAAATCGTGAAAAATTTAGAGTTTGCAAACAACGTTGACGTATGCTCGAGTCTAGAGTCATGTTTCAGAGAAGTATTTTAGACACGAAAATTATATTCACTCTCGGTCCGATCGTAACTCAGTTATATATATATATATATAAATAAAATTCAAAGCTAATTTATAATATATTTATATTTAATTTATTTATTAAGTTTTTATTTACCCTCTTAGTAAATAAATAAACAGAAATTTTATTAAAAATGAATATTTGTTTAAAAAAAAAAAAAAAAAAAACTCCAACAGAAAATACAAGGAAACTTCACAGGGCGGGACCAAGTACCAATTTCGGTGGGACCCACTCTGGGAAATAAGAAAAAAAAAATATATTTTTTTAAAATTTTATAAAACGGCGTTTGCAAAGTACGATTCATCATTACAACCTTTTCTTTCACGTCTTTTCCTACTAAAAAAAATAAGAAAAAAAAAAAATGAGCATCTCCGATATCGACGCCGTACCCAATGGCCACTTGGAGGCGCCGGAGTTTTACCAAAACGTAGTCGTTATGCGTCACGGCGATCGCTTCGACAACTTCGAACGCTCATGGACGGCCACCGCATCCCGCCCGTGGGACCCGCCTCTTTACAAGGACGGCCTGGTTCGAGCCTTCGATACGGGTCGGAGTTTTCTCGACCTTCTCGGGTTTCCTTTTCACGGGGTTTTCGTTTCCCCTTTCCTCCGCTGCGTCCAGACCGCCGCCCAAGTCATCGAAGCTCTGTCTGACGGCGCCGACAGCAACTCTTCCAGTCCTAAGGTCAGGCAAATTTCCCGATACACATGAAACCATCACATCAAATTGTGTTTTATTTTTGTTTATCGGTGGTTGACTTTTGTTTCTCCTCAAGTTATGGTTCTAGAAATTTACGAAATTGTTTGGGGGTTTTGAATGTTTGTTTGAGGGATTTGATGGGTCATTTCATTTGGCATTTTCGTACATGGCTTAATAACATTAACAATACTAATATCTTCTAATAAATAAGCTTGAAACTGAAGCCCATCTGGAATTGGGTGATAATTTGTCGTTTTGGAGGCCACCCAGTTCCAAACCTTTGCTATCTTCATTTTTCATTTTTAACTTAATATATTTGAATTTTCTTTTTGCTTGGATTATTGGGGAAAACTTCGGTCTAACTTAATCAAAACTAAATCAGGATGGAAATTTAGCTGGAGCTCACTGTTTACGAATATTGTCTTTTTTGGGTTTTCACTCCGGAGTTATATGGTCCTCTTTAGGCTTTCCCTCCAGATTTTAAAACGCGTCTGTTAGGAGGTTTCCACACCCTTATAAATGAGTGATGTATGATCTCACAATCCATCCCCTTTGAAGACCCAACATTCTCGTTGGCACTCGTTTCTCTCTTTCAATTGATGTGGATCTCACAACCCTCTTCAGGGCCCATAGTCTTTATTGGCATTCCATTCAGTATCTAGCTCTAATATCAATTTTAACCGCCCAAGCCCTACAATGTCCTCGCTAGCACACCGCTCAATATTTAGCTTTTGTAATAGTCGAAACCCACCTTTAATAGATATTGTACTTTTAAACTGTTTTCACATTTTATAAAAAAAAGGTCACATTAGAAGACGGGAATGACAGGTGGTTAAGAACTTGTTTGAATACATAGAATCACTTTTCAAACACTTGAAAGGCTATTCAAAATTAGCCATTAATTGATTTGCTTATCTGGTCAATAAGGCATCAAGGTTTAGATTTTGATTAGGTGAAAAACCCAACTGGGATTGCCCACAATACAAATAGTCATTGACATTGACAGATGAAGATGACATCTCCTTTGTTATATAGCCTGCAGTATTATTTGAAAAAAACGTTGAAAAGTTCTTCTCAACTTTTCAAACACAAGGATTTGTCTTTTGATGCTCAAAAATTCATTTCAATACTTGCTAGCTGCTTCAGATGATCCTCTAATTGTCTTGCTTTTGAATGGTAAAAGTTGTTGTGATCTGTTCAACGAGTTTAAAAGTCAAATTAGACGGTTAATGATGACTCTATGTAACGATTCAAGTCCACCGCTAACAAATATTGTCTTCATTGGACTTTCCCTTTCAAGTTTCCTCTCAATGTTTCTAAAACGCGTCTGCTAAAGAGAGATTTCCACACTCTTATGAAAAATGCTTCATTCCCATCTCCAACTGATGTGGAATCTCACAATCCACCCTCTTTGGAGGCCCAGTGTCACGATCATGCTTGTTAACGGCGATTGTGACACCCAACATCTTTGCTGGCACACCGCTCAATGCCTGGTTCTGATATTATTTATAACAGCTCAAGCCCACCGCAAGTAGATATTGTCTTCCTTTCGGGCTTCCCATCAAAGTTTTTAAAACACATCTGCTGGGGAGAGGTTTTCACACCCTTATAAAGGATGCTTTGTTCTCCTCAAGGTGCTTTGTTCTCCTCTTCACCGAACGTGGGACCTCAAAAATTAGTTTCACTTTTCTCGGTCTTCACTTGCTTTTATTTTGTCTTATAAATGATATGAACATTAGAACAAGTCTTGAGCTGAAAAGTAAGACTTCAAAGTTGATTTCATATTATGCACAAGTTTCTTTTTGTACAGCTATTCATTCAATGCTGAATTTTGAGTTGGGATATCACTATAGGTTTCAATAGAGTATGGACTGTGTGAGATGCTAACCAATGAAGCAATCAGGCCTAATGTTGAACCAAAGGATAGGAACTGGGATTTCAATATCCCTCAGCTTGAAGCCATTTTACCCGTCGGGACGGTTGACCATTCTATAGAACGTGTCTATAAAGAGGTACATAAACAAAATCATTATCAAACGAAGCTTCAATCCGTTTAAGTAAACGATGTTTCTCGAAAACTTCAGATGCTTCCATGGGAAGGATCAGCAGCAGTTACTCATCGTCGGTACGTCCAACTATTCCATACGCTTGCCGATAAATACCCAACGGAGAACTTGCTACTTGTCACACATGGTACGTAGTATTTTCAATTGCTGTCATAACTCGTCCGTCGTCCTTATAGATTTCCCTTATGACATTGTTTGTTCATCGTGTGTTTTTAGGCGAAGCGGTCGGAGTTGCAGTTTCGACGTTCATGGAAGATGTACTCGTATATGGAGTCGAGTACTGTGCATTTGTTCAGCTGCAAAGACCTGTTTTTCGGAGAGGCGATTCGTATGTGTTCGGAAAATTTGAGGTGAAACTGAGGAATGATGGGAAAGATGGAATCAAACACATGCCAAAGCCAGAAAAAGAATGAGATCATCATATGTTTCATTGGGAATAAACTGCCAGACTCTTTCTATTATTTGCTTATGCTTTGGTTCTGTGATGCATTGGATGATTAAGATCTCTCTTTTTTTGTGTTTCTTTGAATAAATGAGTCTGGATTGTTGATTTTGTTATGAACAGTGATGATATGATACTGATTATTGTGAAGGAGAGTAAAAGAAAGTGATATGATACTCATTGTTTTCCAAATGCTTATGTCTCAGTTCATGTTAGTGTAACAATTGGCTTTGGGAGTGAAAGCAGACTCAAGTAGAGCTATAGGTGAGGCATTATTGCAATGAGACTTAATATGATGTAGCATTTGATCGAACGAGTACGATCGCCTCATGGATATTGATTGTCTTGTTGATTGAATATCTCAAGTTAAGTTAACTTGTTTGATATTTGAATCACTCCACTAGAACGATGGATCGAGTTATGCTTTGTGAGATTCCACGTCGATTGGAGAGGGAAACAAAGTGTTTCTTATAAAGGTGTGAAAATTACTAAGTGTTTCTTATAAGGGTGTGAAAACCTCTCTCTTGTAGATGTATTTTAAAACCTTGAAGGGAAAGCCCAAAAAGTATAATATCTGCTAACCATGAGCTTGGACTATTATAATTGTTATCAAATACCAAGCAGTGCGCCAACAAGGACATTGGGCCCCAAGGAGAGTGAATTGTGAGATCTCACATCGGTTTAGAGTTTAGGGCTCTAGTCATATGAAATTTTGTCATATTTTTTATAAGTCTCATGTCAGTATGTAGCGATTTATGGCTCGAGTCTCTCAAAAAGCAAAACATTGTACTTGGGTTTTACTTTATTTTTCTTACGTTGTGACTTCAATACGTTGTGACTTCCACACGTAAATCGATAAGGTGGTGACCCTTAAATGGCGTTGATCCGACCATGTAAGGGCCAAGACAGACAGTGTCATCATGGAATCGAGGAGGATGGTGCACCATCCAACACACTAAGAAGAGTGCATTAAAGCCAAGTTGAGGCATAAGTGAGGTTAGAGAGAACGAGTCAACACAATTGTAGAAGACAAGCTCGGAGAGAGCATGGTAGAGTACTGTATGATCACTAACCAAAATCACGACTACTCTAGAAATATTAGGAATGCCTCAAAATGTACTATAGGGGAAACATGGTGTTAGCTCTCCACCACCCTTAGGTCATGTGACACATACATGTGTCACAATGTGGGAGAGCATTGCGAGACAAGCGTCTCTGATGTCTTCCTTTGAAATGAGTTTTTCAAGTATAGTGACAAGCATCACAGGTGTGCCGACGTTGCACTCTAGCTCATGTGTTGGAGGTTAGTATATGCACCCACCATTTGGCACATAGTCCATAAATGACATGACATGAACACGGGATGGTTTAAGTCCCAATGAGAACCAGAATGGATGGATGTTCGAGATATCCCAATGAGATGAACGACACATGGGTTAGGACTGTAAACATGTTTGAGCAAGCTAAGAGGGTCAAGTCGTCCCGAGATATGGGTTGACATCACAATGTATGGGTCATGTTATATGGAACCAAGATGATGACTGAGATGCGACGTTGTAGATGAGAGATGGCTTAGAGTAGAGGTAAGATCGAGTCGAATGACTTAACCTAGTGTAAGGACAAGTCGACTAGAGCCATAAACAATTGAATATGCACGCACAAATAGCATGTGTGGCCGAACAACCTTGAATTCCGCACGAGTTTTGTTTGGTTGGCAAAGGAGAACCTCACCTAAGATTCAACGAAGCCATGAAGACGGTCAAAGAATGTGAATGAGTCGTAAGTTCTCCTTAAGGCTTATCATGAGCATGTCAAGATCATAATGTTACACGGTTGAAAATATACAACCATAAAACATAGTACTTCTCTCCACACGGATCAAGCATGTGATCATGAACTAACTAGATAGACTCCACTCCTTAACGTACTCCCTAGGTCAAATGATGGGCTAGCATGCTCACAATATTGAAACTAATGGAAAGGAAAGGAACGTATAATAATTTGTTCGAAAAGTAATTCATAATCACATTACATACCTCATGTATAAGGTCCCACATTAAAAATGTAGTTCAATGAGAGGATACACATAATACTATTTTCATACTTATCATGACATAAATTTCTTACGAGACTGTAGATATATATTCTTAATTTTTCATTCATAATTTTAACACATGATATATGACGATGGTGTCTCACATGTCATAAGCTAATCATAATCAGAGTATATGTTTAACAAACTTATTAAGAATACCATTTAGAAATATAATCTATAAAATTTGGCAATAATGTTCGTTTAAGAAATCTTTATTTATGCACATTCTTCCTCAAAACTGAAGTTCATCACTCAAGCTCCACCTGCACTTGAAAAAAACAATCTACCATCACAATCGATCTTTTAAACTATATTCCATGTTATAATCTAGGATGATAGGTCCTATCATTACATTCTCATGTTCTTGCATTTAATCTTAATAGTGAGATCAATTAATGAGTATTTTTTTTAAATATTCAAGCCACCGGCTACCTCTATTTCAGGTTAAGGCAAGACATTCTTGTACAATTGACGACGACATCGCAACTTGAGACCATGATCCATGTATAGAGTAGTTGTATTTATGAAAGTTTAAATGAAGTATTTCCACATTTAACGTTTCATAATATATATAGTGGCGACCTTAAATTAAATAAAAAATTTTGGTCGTTACACATAATATAATTTACCTCATTCAAGAGTGAGAGACGCTCCATTATCTTCCGATGTAAAACTAAGGATCATTGTGCTCGCCTTTACTACCCTGATACATTCATCAACATCTATGCACTTATACATAGAACACAATAATTTTTCAAGAACAAGAAGTAGTGAAGAACTGAGATGTTACCATTGTTGAGGATTTTGGTAGTCAGGTGCTGAATCGCCAAAGCTAATAGCAAGCATGTCTGTGTTCACAATACCAGGATCAAGTGCTATAATAGCCATTCCTTTAGGCAGCTCCAAAGCTATGGATTTGGTCAAGCCCTCAATTGCCCAGTTAGAGGCACTATAGGGAGAAAACTGTTCAAAATATGTCGAAGCATAAACTTGGCTTTAAACCCATTTTATACTTGTCAAAAAGCTACAAATTTTGGGTACCTACCATGGGAGCACCATCTCTTCCCCACATTGAATAGAAGTTAACGATAATTCCTTTTCCTCCTCGGATCATAAGAGGAATGAAATGCCGAAGAACATTTGCTGTCCCTTTTACATTCGTATCAATCACACAATCAAACCCATCTTGAGGAATCTCCCAAAACTTGGACTTTTCATTGATCAAACCGGCGTTGTTTACTGAGACAAGAATAGATTTGTACTTAAAAATGGGAATGAACTATCAAAATCCCTTTGAAATGGAAGAACATGGAATACCAAGGATATCAGGAACAAGATTTCTTTCCAAGACAGCTTGAAATAGTTCCTCAA